TGTCATTATGTTGCTGTCTTGCCGCCAGCCAATCGCTGCATTGCTGATCGTGGTTTCGAGTATCGATACATAGCCCCTTTTAAACCAACCCATGAACGCGCAATTATCTCAGATAACTCAATCCAGCCATACTAATCATCAACAACAGCTGCGTTCGAAGAACCGAATTAGCCAGATCCTGATTAGCGAGATGATATCATCTTGGATGTGACATTTCATCTCGGATGTAATAAGCGACGTACGAAGAACGGGCCCCAGGTTCCAAGCAGCTATACACGGCGTGAATCAAGAATACACTGTCATTATGAGCAGCATACAGTGCAGGGTGAGAGTTCTCCTGCCTCCACTCTTCTTGATTAGCTGTTCCAGTCATAATAATAATAATAAAGTTTTTTTTATTGAATTGAATAATAATGTGTTTCAAGCACTGAAATGTCATTTTTTTATGCATCTACTAAGATACACTGAGACACAGTGCAATGACAGATTAAATACCAAGCTCTGACTGCCAAGGACCTTAAGCTGAAATGCCTCACATTCACAAAAAAAAATAAAAATTATCACAGATTTATATCAAATTGGACTCATAGTAGTGTAAGATGGGGGAAGACACCGCCCTTTAAAGGGGTCCTATATTATGCTCTTTTTCAAAGACTTGATTTTGTTTTGAGGGTGTACTAGAACATGCTCTCATGCTTGGTGGTTCGAAAAACGCATTATTTTTCACATAATTTACATTATTACAGTACCTTTCTCCCCAACCTGGCACAAACGGCTCGATTAGTTCTGGGTTTAATGAAGGTCTGCCTTCCGAAAAACGAAATGTGTTGTGATTGGTTAGCTGTCCCAGTGCGTTCTGTTTGGCGAACAGCTTAGACTGTGTTTCAGTACTGCCTGCTTTAATGTTTGTGATTGTTGTTAACCTTCACAATATATTCAAACAAACTACATTTCCCATGAGCAGCAGTGCGAGAGACGAGGAAGGGAGAAGTATGCTGGAATCGTGGGCCTGCTGCGAGCCGTTTATGTTTTGTTAACCATTTTATCGTCATTTGTTTTTTCTCATAAACTTTGTTCAGTAAAGTTCCCGCAAAGCAGAGTTGTTCCCCGATTCATTATTTCGCTCCAAACTATAACAAGGACCCCTTTAAGAACAATGTGCATTTACTTTGAATTTGTAACTAATAAGTTTATCATGTGCAGAATGATAATACATCAGCCAATGTGTTATTAAGGTAAATTAAATAGAAAACTATTGCTAATTTAATTGTTATAGCAAGAAATGTAAAATTATATAAAAACGACTGTTTACATTTAATTCTTATATTTATTTTTTTTAAAGTGTCATTAATTTAAAATATAGCCTAGGTTTTAATTAGGGGTGCAACGAATTGTAGAGGATCCGTGATCTACGGACCAGGGGCCTGATGTATAAACGTTGCGTACGCACAAAATGGGCATGGAAATGTGCGTACGCAATTTTCCACGCACATATCGGGATTTATAAAAAATAAACTAGGCGTAAATATGTGCGCACCGTACGGAAACTCTAGACCATGCGTACGCACTCTTTTACTGGAGTGAGCGAAATAATGAAGCAAACAGAATGATTTTAAAGTCTGTTTTACATTTGACACACATTTAGATTAAATATGACACTCTCAATAATGCAGTTAAACACTGAAATTTCATGAAATTATTATCCAGAAATTACAACATTTTTATATGAATTTAAACAGAAATATTTGCAGTGGATGTGCTGCTTTCGAACAATTTTCCTGTGGTATGCGATTTAATGTTTTAATCACAGCGAGTATTGCTTGGCGCATGACAATTCCGCTTTAAACTGTGTTCTAAATAGCAAAACTCATGTTCTGAGAAAATACTTTTGCGTGAATAATAATCACTGACGTGAACTTGATTCGTCTGATGCTTTGGAACATATACGGTAACGACAGACATAAGGATGCACTTGTTGATCAAACATTCCATTGGCTGGTTTGAACAGGTTTGATGACAGTACTCTAAAACCTCTGTTCACAGGTGTCGCGCACAGACAGTAGCCTAATGATAATCCCTTTCGTGCTCTTCCCAATATTGTGACAAACACCATATTTAAAAGAGATAGAATTTGAAGGAAACTGTAAGATATGC